CACCACAGTATTTACAAACTGGACTGGTAATCGACAGTCAGCAATTGTGACGCAGTAATGAAACCAATGCCAAGCAATCTTTATTTTTGAATCAATATTTCAAAGATTTCATTAATATACACAAACAGCCCGAATAAGTGAAAAATATTAAAAACTGATAATAATAAAAAACTAATAATAAACGTGAAAAATATTAAAAACTAATAATAAACATGAAAAATATTAAAAACTAATAATAAACGTAAGAAAATAAACAAAAATGCAAAAAGTAAAATGCAAATAAATTATTGCTACATACCTGAAAAATAACAATTTTGTGGTGGTTTATTAATATGTGAAAACTACTAATTATAAAAAAACTGCGTACTAGTGAATAGTACCCGTGAGAAAGAAAACGACCACTCGGACGGTTCTCGAAAGTAGCGCACAAACAGTGAATAGGCTTTGGGTACTAACTGGAGGTATGCATCGAAGAGCCTGGACAACTGTGACCGACGTGTGGGAGCATCCTGGTAACATCACTAACGTGGGATACTCATACTGCTATCCCGGATGTTTTTGGTATTCCTGGTACACAAAAAAAAAAGATCTAGAACGCCATGGGAAAATTTTTCCTGGTTTTTTATAGTATTTCAGAAAGTAACTACCAATGGTTAGCAAATCTCGGGACCTACAAAAGCTACGAGGCTGAAGCTTTGGGAACTTAATCTACATGCATGTACGGGCCTCATCCCCAAAATGGGCGCTTTTACCCGCGTAGTGCCCAAGCACAGACCCGTCAAAGTTTTCAGCGGGATTCAAATAAGCTCTCAAAAAAGCATCTTTTTAACAAGTAATCCAGAAAAGTGAGAAAGGGCCACTACTCAACTATATGTAAAAGTGTCTTTTTTCAAGCAGCACTTATTTTAGCCTCATGGATCGTCCAGTCCACGCTTTCATACAACTCCTGGCAGCAGCAGCAGCAGCAGTAGCAGACGCAGCAGTTATGGTGCTACTCCGAGGTCAGCACAATCAAAAAAATTCGATGTGAACGATTATGTGATACCGGCTATGACCTCGAATCCCTGGGAAAAGCTTGAAGAGGAATATTACGCTAATAAATCATCGAAGTAACATGGTGATAATATTCTATTAACCTGTGTATTGTCTAATTCCGAATAAACGTTAAAATTCACGGTGTCGCTTCAGCCACAGCATTTACCGAAAAGTTGCCAGATAGGGCACAACGATGAAACAACAGCTAATCAAAGCATTTGAAAGATGAAAACCTAGAAATCCTCTGTCGTTTTAACAGCACTGAACTCCATCTTCCCTAGAAACAAGCGGCGAACAAAGATTCGTCCCTGACGAAGAAGTGCATTCGTTTCACACGTCTGTTTTGATACCAGTGCTCAACATCGACGA